AGTATAAATGGGCTCGTCAACAAGGTCAATGCTAGTAATATAAAGAATATTATACCAGAACTATTTGCAGAGAATCTTATTCGGGGAAGGGGTCTTTTTTGCCGTTCATGTATGAAATCCCAGATGGCCTCCCCCGGGTTCACAGATGTATTTGCAGCACTTGTAGCTATTGTAAACACAAAATTTCCTGAAGTGGGTGATCTTTTACTGAGAAGGATAGTCTTGCAGCTTAAGAGAGCATATAAGCGGAACGACAAGGTTTGACCTTGCTCCTTTTCTGCTGTTTTATTGTGATTATCATTTTTCATAGTGGCAGGAACATTTGTTTCCTCCTATATTTGCTGAAAAGTTTCTTGCTTCATGTTGATTTTTTCTAGTGGTTTCCTTTCATGACAGCCTCAATTACTAGCTGCTGTTAAATTTGTGGCACATCTAGTGAACCAGCAAGTGGCTCATGAAATTATTGCTCTGGAACTTCTCACTGTTTTGCTGGAGAATCCTACTGATGATAGTGTTGAGGTAGCTGTTGGCTTTGTGACAGAGTGTGGATCAATACTTCAGGATCTCTCTCCTAAAGGATTGCATGGTCAGTGTGCTGTTCTCTCCTTAGCTTTTTTTTCCCCTTTTTTTTCCATCAGTTGTTCCAAAACATTCATGTGATTACTGAAAGGCGTTTTTTTTTAATTACTTCATTTTGAACTTTATTGCTGATAGCTGAGATTGATGATTTATCTTTTTTCTTGGTTACCACCTATTGGAATGTGCTGTTATTGCATGAATGACTTTGTGCATCTATTCTTTTAGCATATTTTATCAGGTGCTTAGATTGGGTAACAAGTTGACAATTGTGAAAAGGTGATGTCTTTGATACTGAAAGATTGTGACAATGCATGTATATGTTTTCAGTACTGGTAATGTCACGACATAATGTTATTGTATAAGATTCAATGGCAATGACATATGACTATAATGTTATTATGATTATATTATGTTGTTTGGTTTGCATGAGTGAATTAAAAAGTGGTTTTTGGTTGGTAAGTTGGAGTAGTTTTTGAATTATTAAAATAACCATAGGTATTATATTCATTTTCATCTATATTTCAAATGGAAGTATAATGATTATATTAGAAGATGTATAAAATTTGTATGATTAATAATGACAAAAATTATTAAAATTATTGAGAGTTTTAGATATACTCTATATTGTTGTAAGCTACTTGCCTCTTATGCCTCATGTTAAATTATTTAATACTTATAATTATCATGGATTCTAAATTTTAAAGTTCAATCAATAATTTAATATTTTAAACCATCAAAGAGTTTTCATAATATGGAAACATCTTAATTATTAAAATTCAATATTTAAAAAAAACAAAGGGGTATTTTGTAAAATATAAATATAAATTGATGTTTCTTTTCTTTTGAAAAAATATAAATTGTTGACATCTTTTCACAATATGTAAATAGTTAACGAGTTTTCCCAATAAAATAATTAACGATTGTTAGTGTATGAAAATCATTGTTTTCAAAACAATTATTAGATACTTCTTGATGCTTTGACACACTGTATCATATCACCCATATTTATGAAAATCTTAATTTTAAATTTATTGTTCTAAAGGAAATAAAGATACATTCATTTATTTTTTCAAAAAATTAAGTTATATTCGTAATATGTAAACATATTGTGTCATGCATTACACTTGCATATAAAACGTTCTTTTGAAATTTAACATTTGAAAAAATATGATGAAAATATATCATAAGATGTAAATATATTCTATCCTGATTGCATTTACTTACAAATACCTCTGTTGTTTGATGAGCTAATGCCCTAAAATTGTATGTCACTTATCATAAATTTGTAGACAAAATTTAAAGTAAACATTTTTTATTCTGTCAAAGTTAATTATAATCCTAGGTATTATAATGTCTTTCTGTGTATTTTGTGCTTGGGTCACATATATAATATGTTTTTGTAGATACTGATGCATATTCCAAAAATACACTAATGACCTGTCTATGCGCAACACCATCTGCTTTGGTTGCACGATGTGTTTTATAAAAGCTTTTCTTCCTGAAATTTTGTTCATATTGTTTCATGATTTCTCATTTGTTTCTTGTTAAAAAAAAGGATCTTCTGAAAGAAATTTTGTTCATATAGTAAATGGCAGAAGTCTTAATTTGGGAGAAAATGGAGTAGGTTATTTCACAAGATTGTTTCTTCTTAAAAGAAGGTTATGTAACAAGATTGTGATAAACTTTCTTTAAAAGTGAAGATTTTGATCAATATTTGTCTTGAATGGTTCAGTCTGGTTTGTGATTAAACAGGAATTTTTGAGCGATTCCGTGGGATTCTTCATGAAGGAGAAATTGACAAACGAGTTCAATTTTTAATTGAAGGCCTTTTTGTGGTTAGGAAAGCCAAATTCCAGGTAAATGCTTTCTGCCTCAATAGCAGTACCGGTACTTCATATTTATTTGTTTTCATTTCATTTTTTCCACAAATAGCGAAAATCTTAAAATGTCCTATATGAACAATAAAATTCCAGGGGTACCCCGCTGTTCGTCCGGAGCTGGATCTTGTAGAGCTAGAAGATCAGTTGACCCATGAGATATCTCTCCAGGAAGAGATAGACCCAGAAATAACTCTTGGTATGATTAGAATATCAACTTGTTTGCATGTGTCTATTTAATTTATTTACAGGTATATATGAATGATGCTAATATTTCTTTTCTTATTTCCCTGCAGATATATTCAAGCCTGACCCTCAGTT